TTACACTTTGATTGAGGCTGTAGCAAGGACTGGCTCTGTTCTAAGTGAACTTTGCTGACCACTAGGATAACTTCTTGCTTACATTTTAGTCTCTCTCATGCCTTCCCTCTTTGAGCAACTTGCAGGCAGTATGACAAGGAGCCACAAATTTTAATCATTTGATGGTCTTGAGCACAACACAGTCTCTTGATTGTCCTGATTTCCTGCCAAGGAACTCACTTACGTGTCTGTAGTCTAGAATAGCAATGAGCAGAATCTGGAGATCCTGAGCAGTTCTCAGCTGCTGTGCAGGGTTCTGCCTCGCCGTGCAAAGCCGTCCTGGGGGGTGACAGGAAGTGGTCAGTGCGCACCCATCATCCCCTTCGACGTGTAAACATGGTCACAGGAAGCTTGGGCTTTCCTTGCCATGGAAAGTTCGGCCTCAACCCTAAATCAGCCCAAGAGACGAGTCAGAGCCCAAAAGGGCTGTTTTTGATTCTGGCAGGGATATTTCAAAGGAGAGCAATTAAAATAATGGAAGTTTGAAGAGGAAACATAGACAAGCCAAGGAGTTAAGGCTTTCACTGAGGAAAAATGAGAGAGAGGCTCGTCGTGAAGTGAACTGTACAAAAGTGTATCTACATCGTAGCTGTGTAGCCATTTCTTTAAATCGAAGACGCACGAGGAGGAATATTTTATTCTGATGGCTTTGGGGCTGATGGCTTTGGGGCTGATGGCTGGTGGGGCTGATGGCTTTGGGGCTGATGGCTGATGGGGCTGATGAGAATCATCAGGACTCCAGCGCCCCTCTGCCTGGGCTTCCACCACCAACAGCTGTGGGTTAGCAAAGCAGAAGGACCAGGATACTCAAGGAGGGTAGAACCAACTTATTTTAGGGTGTTCATGATCAAAACACCCACTCACACTGACGGGGCCATCAGCAATGTTTGGCAAGTTTGCAGAAGATGCTATATCACTAGCCCCGCGTGTGGGGTTTGGTAAGAGAGAAAGAGAGGCTGTGAAAAGGAAAGCAAAGCAAAGCATAAAATTACCCACATGGTAATACAACCTGCCAACATCTTTCACTCAAGGAAGAGGGAAAAGCGTTCCTGCTCTATAGTTTTCTAGCTCGTGTTTCAGTTTATCATGGGAAATCAGTAACCCCAGGAGCTAGCATGCTGGGATTGTCGCCCAACACTATTTTTGCCAATCTGTAACAATATTGTGTGCTAATAAGTGGAGCTTAAGCAAAAAGACAAACTCAATCATATACACCTCTCCATTATTATTGAAACAAAGATTGATAAGGAAACAAATTTAAATCTTACAGAATTACCTAGAATATTTCTCGATCAGCTTTGTGCATCTGAAACATAAAGCAAGCCACATATATAATTTGCAGTTTTCTAGTAGCCACATTAAAACGAGTAAAATGAAACCAGTGAAGAGAATATTAAGGAGATATTTCATTTAGCACACTATTCCAAGATAGTATTTCAACATGTAATTAATATAAAAATTATTAGTGAGGTATTTTATAGTTTCTGCTGCATAGCATACTAATTCTTTGAAATCTAGTATATTTTTACACTTAAAGCACATTGTAATTCAGACTGGTTGCATGTCAAGTGCTTAATAGCCACATTAATGGCTACTGGCTGCTGTGTTGGTCAGTGCAGCTCCAGAAATACATATTAAAAATTGGTGAATGGCATTAGGAAGAATAGGCCAGACAGGGTGAAAATCTTAAATTATTTTCAAGTAGGTGAGAACAAGACTAGACAGTTTTTATGAGGTATCTTGCCTTACGTGAGAAAGCTATAATTATCTTCTAAGCAATGAATTAACCTGAAAAATGTTATCCATTAGCAAATGCAGCCTCATATTATATGCCATTATACAACCTAGCTTTTAATGTTTCACTTCTGTCATTGGTAATTTTGGAAGGTGTTTAATTTGGGGCAGTATGCTTGGCTAAATACTACAGCTACCAAATATCTCATAGTTGGTGTTATGAAATGCCTGGTTGGCAGTCTGAAGAACAGGTTTGTCAGTCCAGTGGCCTAGAATACTATTGGCCCTCGAACAATGCAGGGATTAGGGGCTCTGACCCCAGCCCCGTTGTCTGCATTTAACTTTTGACTCCCCAGAAATTTAAGTTGTCCCTCAGTATCTTCGGGGGATTGGTTCCAGGACCCCATGGATACCCAAATCCCCAGATTCTCAAGGCCCCTATATAAAATGACATAGATCAATGCATACAGTTGGCCCCCTGTATCTGCAGAGTCCTGATCAAAAACAGTACAGGTATTTATTGAAAATTACCTGCATACAAGTGGACCTGCACAGTTCAAACCTCTGGTGTTTGAGGACCAGCTAGACATGGCCTGGTATTGTAACATGTGAACCTCTCCTCGGAACAGGGCCCCATTCATGCTGCTATTTGACTCTGCTTAAAGTGACCCCTGTTGACCTGAGTTTCAGATCCCACTTCGCCCTACCTTTGGAAGTGTAAAGGCACTGTCATCCCCAGCAGGCCAACATGGACCCCTCTGAAAACACTGGCAATATTTGGTTCTTCTTTCATCCCTTAGTCCCAATATTGACTGGCTAACTGAAAGGAAGTAAAAAAAATGAGTCTCTATTGTGTTCATTTTTCACCATTTCTGATAATGAGCGTTTGGCAAGAGTTGTATACCTATTCAATATAATTTTCTGTACTGGAGAGAGGGTTGATTTTTGTCGAGTCAGAAAACCAGAACTTGCCCTGGAAAGCAGTATATCAGATCTAGGGAGGTAGGTTGATCAAGAGCCTGCCAGGGGCCCCAGCTTTCGTATACAGTATATCCCACTTCCGTTTCGTCCTAACTCATAGCCTCATTCGACCCTTGGGACCTTAAAGAATCCTCATATACTTTCCAAGTTAATGCCCGGTTGTGAAAGTGAAATCAACCTCACTGGTTATGGTTATGGTGGATGCCAAAAGGAAGAAAACCTTGTTGTGTCTGCTCCTACTCTGAACGGCCCAGGGCTTTCTTAACCCCAATCCCAAATGTGGGCAAGCATACCTCAGTGCCTGGCTGCTGCTTGGATTTTTGCCACAAGTTGGATCATGCTTTTTAGGGCAAGTGCATTTTAACTACAATAACCAGTCCATGTTCTATAGATCATAAAGTTGTTATAAGGTAAGCAGAAAGAATATTGCAAAAGCTTTAAAAATTTCCCGCAAACTTATACCATGTGGTAGTGGTTATGCTGATAAATTACTCATTTCCTACACATTTCTTACCATTCTTCCTTGTTGGCCCATATTAGTTCCTTTATTCTATATTCAGTCATTTTAATATTTGTATTTTAAGTTATCACTAATATTTGCTACGGATATAAATTCTCTAGAAAAAGTCAGAATATTGAAGGATGCAGACTTGATGGATTCTTTTTTTTTTTTTTAATCCTCACCTGAGGATATTTTTCCATTTTTTGTACAGATAGAGTGGGAGGGAGAGAGAGAGAGAGAAACATCGACGTGAAGGGACACATTGAGTGGCTGCCACCTGCACAACCAACCAGGGCCGGGGACAAACTGCAACTGAAGTATGTGCCCTTAGCGGGAACCGAACCCGGGTCTCTCCGGACCGTAGGCCGACGCTCTAACCGCTGAGCCAAACTGGCCAGGGCAATGGATTTTTTATATTCTAGAAATATTAGTACCAGCTGTTTGATGACGCTTGTTATAGAGTAAACCCAAATTCATGTTCCTCTTGAAAAAGGATCATTACTCTATATTCTCGTCATTGTGTCTGTCTTGTCTTAACCTCCCAAGCGTAAGTGTTACTCTTCTAATTTTCTAAACGAAACCCATAAACACGGATTTTGGCGGTAAGGCAATCTACCTCAGTGAAGCAAACTTCTTCATAAATCACACTTTATTGTATGGCATTTTGTTTTCATAAACCTGAGATCTCATCAGGGGGGCAAATGTTGACCCTGCCTTACAAATGAAGAAGTTCGGAACTTGGTGTTTCACCAAAATAGCTTCTGAAAGGTTGAATTTCACGTAGGGCCTTTATGGACCCAAGGTTTCAGCGCTATGGGTGTTAAATGGCCTTGACTTCCCAGATAGTCTTTTCTCATGCCCTCTTCTAAAAACAAACAGCCTGTTTCTTTTCAAATACATCATTTTCTCTTAAATGAATTCTTATATTTATTTACTATTTAATTATATGATTGCACTGTCATGTCATCTAACTTTAAATATACTTTGTAACAGCGTAACTCTATATATACCACAACGTCAGCTTTCAAGTAGAGATTTGGAGACATGTTGTGGTAAGAGTGTGAGTTTGAAAGGGGGTGTGGGTCTTAAAATTAGGATTTTTCTTGCCCAGAATTAGAGACATATTATCCATGAGACACTTTCTCTAATGCTGTGTGCTAGTAAAATGTACATCGTCAGCATCCGTTAAGTAGTGGTGGTTCCGGAATGGAGGCTTCAAATTGTGTGGAATTACGGTGGAACACCCCAAATGAAGAACAGTGTTTCGCAAAATTCCATAAGAATCACATAGGGCGCGTTTCTTTAAGTACATAAGAATCACTTGTGGTGCTTGTTAAAGCGATAGATTCCTTATGCCCTGACCGCTGAGCTTTTAATTTAGAGACTCAGGACCAGTCTGCACGTTAGCCATCCCAGGTGCCCACATTTTGAGACAATGGTTACAGCGCTTCTCAAGCCTTAACGTGTGTGCAAACGGCACCAGCCCCTTGTCCAGGTGCAGTGGAGTTCAGTAGGTCCGGGTGGTCCTGAGACTGCGTTTCTCGCACGGTCCCAGGTGATGCTTTAGCTCAGCCTACCACAGTACCTCTTCACGTCCTTCTATAACTGACCTGCGGCCTCTCTGTTTTTGACTCTATGTATTTGGGCTGGGTTTTAACCTCCTTTAAGTCTTCTGTTTGATGTCATTTTAAAATGCTTACTTTGTCTTTTTTCTTTTCTTTCTGTCTTTTTTTAATGTATGTAGATGTCCACCGGTTGCGTCTTGAAGTGCCATTAGCTGTAACCGAAGATCCGGATCCCAAGACCCCAGCCAAGTGCTCCCGCAGCCAAGAGCTGAAGACCATGGAGCTGTCGGACAGCGACCGCCCCGTCAGCTTTGGCTCCACGTCGTCCTCGGCGTCTTCCCGGGACAGCCATGGTTCCTTTGGCAGCCGAATGACCTTAGTTTCAAACAGCCACTTGGGCTTGTTTCCCCAGGATAAGGAGGCAGGGGCCATAAAACTGGAGCTGATTCCAGCCAGGCCCGTGTCCAGCAGCGAGCTGCAGAGGGATAGCCTGGCCGGGCAACAGAGCCCCGACGCGGGCAGCGAGAGGCAGCCCCGGGCCCAGCGGAGAGCGGAGGCCAACGGGGCCACCAAAGCAAGTGCGGAATCGGCTCCCAGCCCCAAGCTCCTCTATGTGGATAGAGTTGTTCAGGAGATCCTGGAGACTGAGAGGACTTATGTGCAAGATTTAAAAAGCATCGTTGAGGTAAGGCAGACCTTTTCTTATTGAGTTTGTCACGCAGGATAAACATGCTTGCAAAATAAGGGCCAAAGCCAGGTGTTGGGGATTTGTCGTCTCCCAAGATGCAGAAGTGCTGTGTAAACCATCTCAACAGGTCGTAACTTAAGAGAAACCCTAGGGCCGTACTCATTGTGTTAGACTCCTCTCAATATTTGCATGACTGAATTGATTATGTGTTAGGAGCAAGAATGATAATACCAGCGCATTCACCAATGTGTTAACAACTCCTACACCAGACGTCTGAGCGCCTGGCAGATAGTGGAGTGGACAGAGGATGGAGTAGGACTTCAGGCTTCCTGCATTGCAGGTGTCAGGTGTATCTGGACTGAGCCCATCAGGCTATCTTCATCTTAATCACAGCTCTACCGGCGTCTGGGAGCTCCCAAACATACTGATGCCTGTGTCCCACCTCCAGAGACTATAATTTTGAGGGCCCGGGGTGTGGCCTGGGTGGTGGGAGATCCCAGGTGTTTCTGATATGCAGCCAAGCTTAGGAACTGCTGCTCTGTGCTGTTCTCTGGGGTGGCTGGCATTTGGTGGAAGGTGGTGAAGGGCAAAGAAAACTGGGGGCTTTGTCTGGGGAATTTCTGTTCACTTTTCCAGTAAATAGATAGGTTTTTAAGGATTGAGTAAGACTTACCAGAGCAGCTCAGATGTTAACTCATTCTCAATCAATGATTATAATATTAATATTTAAAGGAAATTTACATATTATAAAGCTACACCCACTTTGCTGCCTAATAATATACCAAATTTTTTCCTTTGTTAGTGCCTACTTCCTGTTTTAGACTTTTAATTCTAAAGTGTTTCAGAATAGAACATATAGTAGAACATTTGCCAATGAGAACACTCTCCACCAAATACATACATTCTTACAGCTTTAGCAAAAATATTCTAAGGCCTGATTGTGTGTTGAGTTCCACAAATAATAGAACCAGACACTGTCTACTAAAAATAGTTATGACATGACTTCCCAGTAAAAATAAAAAAATCAATTGATGTTCAACCAAAACAATATGTGATACCAAATGTCAAATAAACCAGGCCAATTGTTTTGTAATTTCAACAGTGATGTCATTTGTACTTGCAAAGGAATACCTGTGGAACTGCCAAACATTTCACAACCTCCTAGGAAATTTATGGTTGTCGAAGCTTTCTTTAATCTCTCCCTTTTCTTTCTCTTTTGGAAACTTTTTCACCTAATCCAAACGTACTATCCTAAGAGAGAAGCCTTCAGTTACTGAACTGGAATTCCATGAACACTTGCTTTCTCTGGGCTGGTTGATTCACCTTAGGTGAGAAGTAATAAGGTAAAATGTGAATGAAAGAAAGCAGATCGAGAGAACTTGCATGTATATTGCCGTGTCTGAAGGTCCAGATCTGCAATCCTTTCTTTTTCCTGAATAAATCCTTGTTGATGATGAGAAGAAAAAATGAGTAAAAGACACTCAAGACAGAATATTTGCTGAGAACGTTTCAGTAAAACATCTATTTCAAGCTGTCCAAATGTTCTTGCCTTTTTTTCCTTTCCATGAATTACCCACGTTTTACATGAGGGATTGGTGGACATATTCTACGAAGAGCCAGATAGTAAATATTTTAGGCTTTCTGGGCCCCACGGTCTGTCTGTCACCCCGGCTCCGCTCAGCCACTGCGGCTCGAAGGCAGCTATAAGGGGGCGTAGAAGTTCCAGTAAAACTTCAGGACCAGGTTGGTGCTGACCACTGTATTAGACTGTAAATCTGTGCCCATGGTTCAATTATAAAATGAGACTAATAAGTAGTTCCTGCCTCAGGGTTATTATTATGAGAATTAGATTAAGTAATATATGAATAGCTCTTACAACAGTGCCTGGCACAAGGTCAGCAATGAACAGATAGAAATTATCATCATCACCAGCCTCCTTTGAATTTGCCAGTTGAGCGTAACTATACTGTCTTACCTAAGGTCTTTCAGAACAATAATCAGAGTATTCAGTTCACTACAGCAGAAGTTCAATTAGGGAAAAAAAAAAAAAGGGTGATTCCAACATTATTATTATGAATGCAGTTGGATTGTTTCTAATGAGTCCACTGAAACTTTGAGGCAACACATCACTTGGAAGAGGAACATGAAGAAGGGGGCTGAGAGGGAGGGTAGTGGGGAAGAGGAGTCCCAGATGTGGATGGAGTCACCCAGGCAGGCAGAAGCAGATGCTGCTGTGTCCCGGAAGTCCCTGAACACTCTGAGTCATCCACCCACCACCTAGAAAAAGCAATCTCTTCGGATTAGCGATCAGTGGTCACAGCCTTTCTTCACACACTTTTGCTATGTGACCACCTCTATTTCTGAAGATCAAAACGTGGACAGAACATTTTGTCTAGTTCTTTCCTTTCTGAAGAATAGCCAATTACAGCAGATCCTGGAATACTGTTGTTTCTTTCAATGTTGTTTCATTAGAACATTGATGAGATGCCTTAGGAACTTAACTTTTATCTGTATCAATCAGCTTTATCATGTCTCTTAAACTCACAAAACCTACCCACGACATTAAGTAGGACTTATTGTATTTTCCCACGTGCAACAACTTTACCCAATAAAGACAGTTTTGATGGGTATTTTTTTTAAATGCAAAGTGGCAATTCCTTTAAAATCTGTTTTCCTTGAACTCTGTCTAACCTGTTTTTCTAATTCTGCAGCTGACTTCTCTAATATTCTCGATTTTGCAAATACAGAATTTTATTTATTTTTTTATTGTTGACAGTATTACAGGTACCCCCCTATTTCCTCCACCTTTCCCCCCTCCCCCCAGCCCCTGCCCCACCTCCAGCCTTCACCACACCATTGTCTGTGTCTGCAGGCTATGCCTATATGCATATAAGTTCTTCCCATCCCCCCACCCTCTCCCCTCTGAGATCTGTCAGTCTGTTCCATGCATCCATGCCTCTGGACCTAGTTTGTTCATCAGTTTATCTAGTTCATTAGATTCCACATATAAGTGAGATCATGTGATATTTGTCTTTCTCTGACTGACTTATTTCACTTAGCATAATAATCTCCTGGTTTGTCTATGCTGTTGCAAAGGGTAAGAGATCCTTCATTTTTAACAGCTGCATAGTATTCCATTGTATATATGTGCTACAGCTTTTTATGCTGGTGGACACTTGGGCTGTTTCCAGATCTTAGCTATTGTAAATAGTGCTGCTATGAACATAAGGGAACATATATTCTTTCTGACTGGCATTTCAGGATTCTTAGGATGTATTCCTAGAGTGGGACCACTGGGTCACATAGCAGTTCCATTTTTAGTTTTTGTAGGAAAGTCCGTACTCTTTTTTATAGTGGCTACATCAGTCTGCATTCCCATGCAGAATTTTAAATTACAAAAAGGGCTACTCATTAACACCCTACACACCATGCCTGCAAGGCAGAGCTTCTTGTTAGTTGACTCTTTCTCAGCAAGTAGTATTTCTGGGGAAAAAAACAGTCTAAGCATTTATAGAGGTAACTGGCAAGTCACTTTTTATGTAAGCTATAGCACAATTCAGACTTTCTGTACTTTGCTTTATTAAATCCTATCTATAGTCATTCTTGGTAATTGATTTTCCCTGTAAGTAGTTCATTTAATCTGCATACATATCCACACATAATCCTTGCAGCTCAGGTTCAGGTTTGGTTTTTAGAATTTATGAACCGAAACATTTTTGTAAAAAATTATTGATACAGCCCTGGCCGGTTTGACTCAGTGGTTAGAGTGTCAGCCTGTGGACCAAAGGGTTGAGGGTTTGATTCTGGTCAAGGGCCAGTACCTGGGTTGCAGGTTTGATCCCTGGCCCCAGCTGGGGTCATGCAGGAGGCAACCAATCATTGTGTCTCTCTACGTTGATCTCTCTCTCTCTCTTTCTCTCTCTCTCTCTCTCTCTTTCTCCCCCTCCCTCCCTTCCTTCCACTCTATCTAAAAATCAATAAACAAATATCCTCAAGTGAGGATAAAAATTAATAAATAAATAAAAGATGATTGAAAAATACACTGATTTAAGAGACACTGACACAATGTGATTTGACATGTTCAATATCATCAGAGTTACTTATTCCTGAGAAGAGATCCTTCCAACCTTATTTAGGCAGTAGGGTTCTCAGATGTTGGTTACACCTGCAAAGAAGGTTGTATGCCTTTCTTTCCCGTATGTAGAGACATTAAATTAAAATAATCCCAAATACATAGGTATTTTTCCTTTCCCATGCCATTTAGGGATTCAGAAATGAATTCCCAATGCTTTCTGAAAATTTAACTAAAAAATGTTATTGTTCTTATTCCTGTTGCTCCTCACTCCTTGAATTACTCCCTAGAGCCTTCTCTCTGGCCCACCCCCCATCATGGCAACCCCGTCCTCTGCTCCTTTAACCAACATCCAAGTCCATTGCTTTTGTACACTTGACATTTGAGAGAGAGAGAGAGAGGTGAGGTCTTGACTATTAACCCTCCTCGAAGGAACAATGGAGCCGTTGTTTCCATGTCTATATATGGCTCCTAATAACATTCACAAAGTTAGATAAAAATAGAAATCAGACTTTTAAAGTTAAAAGTAAAATAGCCAGTAATACAATTTGTGGAGAGAGAAAAATTTGTAGTTGGAAAGCAGAGAATAAGGGTCTCGTCCATATTTCCTGAGACCTTAGATTGACCGATCAGGGACTCGTGAGTCGAGTGGGGGACTTCAGTCTTTCTAAGTGATCTATAAAAGAGCCTTGGGAGCCGCCTAAGATTTGGCCCCAGATATAGTTCGTGGCCTGTTTTCACCTTTTAGGGGAGTTTTTAAATAGTTCATGTTACACAATGCTGTGTAATTGGAAGTTCCATCCCTATTAGAAATGGCATTTTTGAATTATAAGAGATGCTAAATTAAGTCAGCATGTTGGAGGGATGTTGAAGACATCTGTGTTATGAAAAAAGTGGGTAAAATATTTGTGGCACGTTTATTTTT